TGAATGTTTAATCTGGAATAATCCAACCTGACCAAAACTCTTGGGTATGAGGCACTTGTGTGTATTTATGCCCAAGGCTATTTCACCTCCTTCCTGCTCTGTCCCCAGGGCAGTGGAATTCCTTACCTGAGGACACTGTCAGTGTGGTGCCAGTGTCAAACCAGAAGTTCTCCAAGCAGGCAGTTAGAGATCTGTCTCAAAACTCCTCACCACTGGGAGCTCTTCACTGAGCTCTGCATTCCTGCCCCAAGTCAGCCAGTGCCAATCCACTGGAGAATTGGACACTGGACAGTAAATTTGGGCCAGAGTGCTGCCCAAAGTGGGAATAAGTTATCACAGGCTAAGCAGTGCCCTGCTGGTGTTTGGGGATCATGGAATAATGGTGCTATGCAGAGTCAGCCCAGTTGTTCCTGGGAAACCTTCCTGAGCAGATCCAAGCTGAGCGTTTGGGTTGAAAGCCTGGCTGGAAATTGAGTACATTCAAGGGATTATTACAGCTGAAAATTTTTTCAGTGAACCCAAACCATTAAATTCCCTTGTTCTCCCCCACATTAATTTTAAATGAAGTTTTAGAAGTAAATAAATGTCACTTACTGGGTACAACTGTGAGCGTCGTGCCGGGTCCATATATCTTCGTCACACTGTTAAAACTTACTCCAATAATTCAGTCTTTCTTCCTGCTGTTTAAACTCGTTGTAAATCAAGAGATGGATTGCCACATAGTTGGCCTAATTATTCATGGGTGCAAGTCCATGAGGGGATCCAGAAGTACATTTACTTTGTAAACTGGAAAGGGAAAAAAGTTATTTGATTATTTCAGTGTTTTCAGTCACCTTGATTGAGTACAGAATTATCAACTTCTCCCTTTGTTCAACATTTTCGATCCTTCATGAGTTCTTTTGTATATCCAGGATAAAGGAAATATATAAAGGATGTTCTCTTCTTAAACATTACAGTCACCCATCTCCTTTCTTTCCCTAAATATCTCAGCTTTTTTCCTTCTTTGGGTTTTTATACTGGTCCCTATGCTGTTTATATCATTGTGGTATCCAAAACCCATACACAGTGAGGTATTTCATAACACAAACTGCCTCTGTTCTACTACACAGAATTTTGGATTATATGGCAGTCACATGACTTTTTCAGTGGTTTGAGATCCAACGCACCACATGAAAAAACACTTTATGGCTTTCAAGGAAGAATCTAAAATAGTATCTGAAATCTTGAGTTGTATATGTGTACTTGGGGATTACATGACCCCTCTCAAGAGTCTGATGGAGTTAAAGTGGTTAGAAAGCAGGAAAATTACCAATACTTTTTTTGTTATTTCAAAGCATTTCTGATAATTCTTCTGATTTGCAGGAAGTTATCCTCTTTTCCCCTTTTTTGGGGAAAAAAGTTTCAGTGCTCAGAGGCAGGAGGAATGTGCCCTCTGGTCTCTTAGAATTGTTGCCTGGGGGTAATGTAGTACCTTAGAAAGTCCTCCTGGTGTTTTAGGTAAGAGGTGAAAGTAGGTAAAATGATTGCAGATTGTTGTGTAGAGGCACTGACACCTTGGGAGTGAGGATCAAAGAGTGAAGGGTCTTGTTCTTCCAGAATGTGCTCCAAGCCGTTGTTGGATCTGAAATTAAAAGGATCTTTGTTCTTACCAAAAACTTCCTCTGTGGAGCTTTTGAGACAAAGAGAAGAACACAATGATGAACTTTAATGAAAATATCTTAATTGCAGATGCTTCCTGCCCCCTTGTTCAACTGGAGCTGGTTATCAAATGTCTAAAATGACCTGTCTGTGAGAGCCACGGTCTCAGGTTGAATGGTGAAGAAATTGGTCTTGGAAAAATAGGAGAGGTTTTCTGATGTTTGAGTAATTCTAGGAATCAAATTGTGCACACAGTTGTCTGAGAAAACTGAGATGAGGTAAAGGCACCGTGTTTCCTACACCGTGTTTCCTCCTGCAAGAGAAGGGAGGGAGACAGTTTGTGTGTGGTGGTTCAGTTGTTTTCAGTCACTGTGGTATGTAGTTCACACTGTGCTAGACAGTTCTACAAAAACATTTGTGGGTTTTGTCATTGTCAGGTGATGTCTCCTCTTTCATGTCTTTGTAGTGCTGCCTTTTGTTTTCCTGTCCCTCTACACTGCTCCACTTCTAAACATCTTAACACTCTTGCAGAGGATTCCTAAAATAAAAATATCATTATCACCCTTGCTTTTATTTTTTTGTCAGATTGAGTAGTTAGCATTAATGTCATTAAATATTGCCCTGATTTGTATCTGGGGAGAATTCACTCAGGCTGAATAACTTTATATCAATTTTCATTCTGTATTCCCTAAGTCCTTCTGGACCTTCAAGCTCATCTGTCCTTAAAGCCTATTTGCATGCCAAAGAAAAAAATCTGTGCATGTTTAGAAATTGTTCAGAAGATATTTTGGTTCAGCTGATGGCGCTTTCACTGACTCTCTTTTCATTAATGACCTAAAGATGCTTATTTACTGAGCTATTTAATTTTTTGTATTTCTTATGTGAGTTCCATTTTTATAAGGCTCATATGAGTTTTGTCCCAATTAGATGAGCATTTTTTTCCGCTTAATTTTTTTTATCTTGTGAACTGATTATTTGACCACTGAGTTGTCCATTGTTTGGAGTTTTGATTTGTTTGTATGTGCTTTTCAATGAGTTTCCAGGTGGGGAACATCTGGTTATAGTTGACTGAAGGCAGCTTTTAATTTGATTTTTATCTTGCTTTAATAATTTTTGATAATGATAGCCTG